ATTGATTGGAAAACTGGCTGCCTACATGGAGGAGAGGAAGAGACCGAAGAAAGAGGCAGACCACACCAGATAGATAGGTGGAGGTTTAACAAGCAAGGGAACTTATTGTCTTGGTCAAGCACAAGAGGAGTAAATATCTGCATCTGCCGGCCAGAATCTTAAACGTTTATATAGAGCCCTTAACTGGGCACAGTGGTACAGTCCCATCAAAAACTGTTCTCAACAACACCTTTCTCTCTCAAGGTTTAGTGTTAGCCCTGGCAGTTATTGTATTTATTTTTGTAATGCAAGTCTCTGACTTAAGCTTTGATTGCCCAGGTATTAAATATCCATCTCAAAGAAGGCTATCTCAAAGAAACACATGGCTAGTCATATAGATAAAGAGCTAAAGAACCAGGCTGCCTCCCTTCACTGAGACTTCTTTGCTCTAAGAAATTTGATTTTAGTAACTGGCCATTAGGATTATTTGTTTTTCTTTCTCTTCTTGGACTTTAAATTCCAGCCCTAATGTTTTGAATCCACCAAAAAAGTGTGAGCCCATGAAACCCTAGGCTCCCACCCTTGACCCTAATACCTGCAGAACCCAGGCTCTTTCTCTCTCTCTTTCTCTCTCTTTCCAATGAAAGGGAATTTTTGGACTGGAACCCGGATTTTTTGTCCACTGGAATCGAAGAATGAATCCATGGATAGAAAGTGGTATAGCAAAGGTGGAGATTTATTGAAGAACAAGTACAGACTCCCACATGGGGAGTGGGAAAGAGTCCCACAGAATGGACCCCTAAGTAGGGAGGGAGAAAGGGTCCCACTGAGTTCCTTTTCCCCATGGCTTATAAAGGCTGCAGATCCTGGTGCCTTGATAGCCCCTCTGATTGGTCACTATTCCCCTAGAGTGGTTACTATAGTAACTCCTGTGCTCAAAGGTCACACCTCACATGGGACATGTGAGATTCTCCCTCTCCTTCCTCATTGTTTTCCTATTCCCTTTGGTCTTTCTTCTTCTCCTTCTGGATGAAGGGCTTCCTTCTCTTTATTTTGTAAATATAGACCTTTTGCTGTTCCCAGCTCCCTCTTTCTATGGAAATGTACCTGTTGCAGCTTTTCAGCTCCCCTATTCTATGGAAATATACCTTCTGCTGCTCTGCAGCCCTGTGCTTCCTCCATGGTCCCCTTAATTTCTAAAATTTCCTAAACCTGTCCTATTTTACTCCTAAAATTCCTGTTTCACCAACCTCATTGAGTGGTCCCAGGTGTGCTGTGTAATTTCCAGGTTCTAGGAGTAATAAAGCTTTTTTTTTTTTTCAAAGTTTCTTGCTGGTTATAGCTGAAGGGCATCTTGCAATCATAACAAGAACCTCAAGGACTGGTTGTTGATAGGCTGAGCTCAGTACAAAACACACAAGGCTGTGTCCTTGGAACAGTCCCCATGTGGGGTTGGAAGGCAGAGCATACATTTCAAGAACATGGGGCGAAGTGAGGAACCTTTGCTTGCCATGATCCAGCTTGAGGGTCAACCAGCAGCCAAAGGATTACCTCCTCCAATAACAATCCAGTCAAAGTCTATTTATTGGTGTCATAGTGGGGCATTGGGAATAAGGGAGGCAACTTCCCTGCCTTCGGTTGGTCACCATGCAGTGGGAAAAGCAGTGAACAGAGAGAAATTGGGGAAAGGGGGTTGCAGAATAGAGAGGCCTGGGGTCCTGTAAAGCCAATGGCACAGCCTAAAGCAGGGGTGGGCAACCCCATGGCACGCCAGTAACTTTTGCTGGCACGGGAAACCCTCTCTTATAATCTTCCATTTACAATGTTTTTCTTAATATCGACTTTTTTATTTTTCAGATAAATTCAGTGTAGGTGCATCTTAGATAAATAAATAATTTTACATAACAAGTTATCTTAAAGACCATAGACATGGATTGACGAGAGAGGGGAAGAGCAATTTCTATGCCTCTGCCTTAACTCTCCCTGCCTTCCTAGATCCGACCAGTGTTTTGGTTTCATCCACATACGCTTGTGAATCTTTGTTCTCAGTGATGAATTTTGTTAAGTCTCGTAATAGGAGTAGCCTGACGGATGAAAGTAGTAGCTCGTGCATATTTCTGAAGGTCACGAAATATAAACCTGATGTAAAATCTCTGTCATCAGTGATGCAGCAGCAAAAGTCCCACTGATAATATCAAACGGAGTCATAAAGTTTTCTGTCGGACTATCAGTGTACATGTATACATTAAAAAATAAATGTATTTTTCATCATCATATACTGTGTTTTTGTTGCTCGAATTAATTTTATTATTTCTTCAAGGTTCTTCACATACGTACACCTTAAGAGATATCAAGTAGGCGTAACATGTTCTCAAAAAATTACGGTTGGCACGCAGAAGAATTTTGAATAAGAGATTTTGCTGGTTTTGGCACGCACTCACAAAAAGGTTGCCCACCCATGGCCTAAAGGTATGCAGTGGAATGAGAGGCAAGAGGAGAGTTGGCCAGCAGCGCATGAATCAGGCCTGGGGGCCCACAGAGGAAGGCGGCCCACTCCTTATCCTGGTGCTGGCGGCCTCCTCCGCCCAACCCCCAGAAGGTAGGGAAGAAACCTGGGCTGGGCTGGGTGGTTTCTGAATTCCAGCTGTCAGTCTCCCTAGATAAAGTGGGGCCTGGTCAGAGGGTGGATGATCCTGAGGGGTGCATCAGCCCCAGCTCTCCCCCTCCATGAACACCCAGTCCAAGGAAAAGCAATGGGACCATTGAGCAAATGAAACTTCAAGGCCAGTCCTGACTCCATGTCAACTTGTTATGGGCAGAAATAGAATACTGGGGACTAGCCATAGTTATAAGAAATATTAATCATGCTTTGTTAACTTTGATTGTGAAACCGGACAATCACAGTAACTCTCTGTGCTGCCGGTCACTGCTTGAGCCAATTAAGCAGAGACAGCAGTATGGGAGAGTAGCAGGTCATTCATGAAAATCTGCTCTGCACCCCACCATAAGCCAGCTGCTTATCTTGGGTAGGACAAAGATTACATGGGGAAGTAGGCAAAAAGAATAGGAATGGGTATGCAAGATGGGTATTACAGGTTTGGGGAAATAAGCAATGCAAGCTGGGGTGGGACTCCATTGTTTTGGCAACAAGATTGTTAATCTTTCCATGATAATAGGCAATTCTTGAACTATCATGGACTGCCTTCCAACATTGACTCCCAGGTCCTGGGGGCGTACAACTCTGAGCCAGGTTAGAATGTGCTATCTTTAATCAGAATAAAACAATTGTTAGGGGCAAAAATAGACTATTGGGGACTAGCTGTAGTTATTAGAAATATTAATCATGCTCTGTTAATCACAATTGTTTTGTTTTTCTTTTTTGTGTATTGTGGCCTCTGTCAGCAGACAGAATTCTGTGGGAATAGTCCAGCCTGAAGTGGGACTGGTGGTAAAGCAGCCCTCTTTGCTGTAGTATCAGCTAGGTTGTTTTCTGTAATAATGTTTGTGTTTTCCCTTTGATGTCCTTTGTAGTGAAGTACAGCTACCTCTGCAGGTTTTACTACTGTTTGTAGGAGAGTGAGTATTTCCTGGAGGTGCTGAATAGGGGAGTGCTTTGCTGTTAAGAGTCCCCGTTGTTTTTATGTTGCCATATGGGGGAGGAAGGCATACCTGGAGTCGGTAAATATGGACTTGTGTCCCTTTCTCAGCTGTAGGACTCTGGTCAAGGCAATGAACTCAGCCTTTGGTCAAGGCGATAGGAGGCAATGCCAAGCTTCAGTATATCTAGTTTTCTCTTAATGTCTTTCTTTCTAAACTTATTGTCATTAGTAAACCATACTTTATCTGGATTATCTAAGAGCTGGTATTTGAGATCAGCCCTGTTTGAATAAACTTGTTCTACTGTTCTTACGCAAGAGTGCAAAATTTTCTCCTTTTCCTCCACAGGCAGGAGGAATAAGAGTTTGACATACTTTGAGAGTCACCTCGGGGGAGTCTAGAAGTAAAGCCTGGTATCTAGTGAGGTGTCCCCCGTAAGTCATATGGCCTTTAATTTCTAAGACCCCTTGAATCTAGTGTGGGGTCAGGACCTCTAGTGGCTGTCCCAATGTTAACATGGTGGCCTATTTTACCAGGAGCATTGTGGTTGCAACAGTCCTTAAAAATGCTAGCCATGCCCAGCAGGCATGGCCCAGTGGTTGAGCATCGACCTATGAACCAGGAGGTCACAGTTGACTCCCAGTCAGGGCACATGCCCGGGTTTCAGGCCCGATCCCCAGTGTGGGGCATGCAGGAGGCAGCCGATCAATGAATTCTCTGTTCATTGATGTCTCTATCTCTCCCTCCCCCTCTCTTTCTCTCAAATAAATAAAAATATATGTTTTTTAAAATGCTAGCCATGCCTTGACCAATTTGGCTCAGTGGATAGAGCATTGGCCTGCGGACTGAAAGGTTCGATTCCAGTCAAGGGCATGTACTTTGGTTGCAGGCACATCCCCAGTAGGTGTGTGGGAGGCAGCTGATCAATGTTTCTCTCTCATCGATGTTTCTAACTCTCTATCCCTCTCTCTTCCTCTCTTTAAAAAATCAATAATATATATATTTTTAAAAATGCTAGCCATGCCTGGCCAATGTAGCTTGGTGGTTGAGCATCGAGCTATGAACCAGGAGGCCACAGTTGATTCCCAGTTGGGGCACAGGCCCAGATTGTGGGCTCAATCCCCAGTGTGGGGCATGCAGGAGGCAGCCGATCATTGACTCTCTCTTATCATTGATGTTTCTATCTCTCTCTCCCTCTCCTTTCTCTGAAA